AGGGATTTCAACCAGAACCCAACCCACCAACCCACCACGTCTCTGATCAGCCTCACCTTCTGCTTTAATTATGGCAAAGAAGAAGCAGAAGACGGCGAAGTGCGAGAGCATGAAGGCATATGCTCCCTCGAAAACCCTGAAGTTCACAAAGAGTATGAAAAATAAGAAGAACAAGCTGCGAAGGATGGACGCACTGACGGGCGATGCAGGCGAAAGTCTGGTCCGCATCTTCCTTCTTCATTTCTGAGAGAATTTGGGCTTCAAAAGCCCATCCCTAGTTGGCTAGTTCATTTAACAAAGAGGAAGTAGAGGAGGAGATTGAGGACCTTGTACCTTTACGAGTACGAGGAGGCACTCCCAGAGGAGGAGACGAAGAAGAATTGGCGCTTTGATCCAGTTGAAAACTACAAGCACGAGCTTCCTGACGACTTTATGATTCGTCTTATTGCAGTAGTAGGATGAGAATGTGTCGTCGGTTGATGAGTACGAGCCCTCGGATGAAGACGACGGTGTGGCAAACGAGGAAGGGGATGAAGCGGATGCTGGATTGCAGGTGAAAAGCATGTGAGAATGCTCCAATCAATCACCTGATTACCTGCCAAGACCTTCAAAGGTATGGATTATTCTCTTCTTCTTGATACCCGGAAGCCCGAGGCAGGAGCAAACTCGGTGCAATGATGCGAACTGTGAGGCGAGCGAAGTGCGGACGGGGTTGATTTTGGGTTTCGAGGTCAACCCGAACCCAACCCAATTTTATAAATGGGTTGGAAAACAAAACCCGAACCCCAACCGTCAGACAAACGGGTTGACCCAAACCCAAAATTTTTTGAGACAATTTCGGACCGGGTTTCGAGTCAGGCCAAATATTGACACCCCTACCAAACCCAACCCATTTAATAAACAAGTTAAGAAAACCAACTAAACTCGACCCGCTAGCAACCGAAAATACCTAAACTTTACTTGTTAACCCATTTTTGTTAGTTTATACATATTATTAATTATTATATTTAGGATATTTGAATAAAAATAAAAAAATTATACCAACAACAAACATTTATCCCATTATGTGGGGTCGGCTACATGAATCCTTTTTCTCCATTATGTCATGTTAAAAGTTAAATTCTCATTTAAATCTAATAAAAAAATATTATTTCTAATATTTTATAACCAAGTCTTTTTAGGCCTACCTCTACCTTTCTTAACATGTCAAATCTAATACATCTATTTTCCTAACCGGATCATCAGATAGTCGTCATTTTATGTGACCAAACCATCTAAGGCGACCCTCTCTAATCTTATCTTCCATTGGAGCTACACCAACCTTTGCATGTATATGCTCATTTCGTATGTCATTTCTAAGAGTAAAGCCACTCATCCACCTGAGCATCATCATCTTAACTTTCATTGGAGCTTCTCTTTTAAAATAAAATGATGAGTTACGTGCAAGTGAGTATCAATCAGTTTGTGAGGTATTATCTTGTTATTTTAGGGAAGTGTGACTTCATTAATGTGTTCTTCCCCTAATTTGGTAGCTTGTGAATGGTGATATTTGAACTTTAGAATAACCTAGGTTTGAGGGCTCACCCTCCCACCTAGTTGGTTTGGCTCTATTTAGAGGAGGGGGAAGTACTTTTAAGGGTTAAGAACTTTTTAATAATGCAGAGTAATTGTCAATGGTGATAGGTATGCTGCCCAATTGTTGTAGGCAATCATTACTTTATTGATGTTGCACATGATATTATTCATGCTTATTGGTTTTCGTGCACCATGATCAAAATGGTCTCACGGACAAATATGCCCCATGATCCAAAAAATCATCTCACGGTGAGCAAAGACCACCTCAAATACAAAAGGAGTTATGCCAAAGCCCAGGTGTTTATTATGAACAATCTCCATCTTTGGAAACCATGTAGTTAAAGAAAATGGTCCTCGAGAAAGCATGTCAACATAGATTATTAGCAATGTGATTGTTATAATAAAATCCAAGTTTAGTTTCTCACATGGCAAAGCTATGAACAAAAGTTTTTGCCCCCCTACTCAATGAGGCCAGGAAGAGAAATGAGGGAAAGCAAAATTTTAAGTATGATAAGAGACTGGGAAACTACTCAAGCTTTAGCTTACCACACAACTAATAGTGGGCACTGTGTACATCTACACTAATAGCAAGAAGAGGAGTATGAAACACAAAGAACTTAAGATTTGGGCTTCGTTTGGGACGACTTTTTTTGCCGCTTCTTAAAGCAATTTTTTAGTTAAAAAATTAACCTTATAGTAGTTTGATGACTAACACCATCATCCATTATAATGGAGAAAAGCATGACACCAATCATCAAGGATAGCACTTCTTGGACTACAAGAGACTTAATAGGAAGAAAATGAAGAATTAAAAATGGTTGAATAGATTTATCACCCAAAACCTTACTCATAATGGAGACATAAAGGGATTTAAAGAGATTTAAGTTGGTGGACCCAATGCTTTCTCTCAAATCGGGCTCTCCCTCTTGTTCTCAAGTTACCCTAGCAACGCCTTATTTGCAATTCTTTGTCTGGCCCTTCCCTTTACTACATAACTATTGTTTTCTCTAGAAAGATTTATAGTACTTCAAGCTTCATCTAGAGTTTTATAAGATTAGAAGGAGCCTTTAACACTTGTAAAAGTGTTGGAAAGTGGGAAAAACTTTGATTACTCTGATGAATAAAGTGAGAGATTGAAGTTTTCGCAAAGGGAACAAGGAGATCTCAGCAGCTTGAGAAAAGCGTTCTACTGTCTGTTTCTGTGCGTTGGAACACCTCTCGATGGCGAATTACTAAAAATGTAGATATCAACTACCATCTCAACAACATTGACCTAAACAACCCCTAACCCTTCACATCACTCAAAATAAAAAACTTCATAGACACCGTCAACTCACCCTAAAAAATAGAAGAACAATAATACCTGCTTGTGGTTGATTGCAAGACTGAAAAGTACTGAAGCAACAAACTCGTGCCTTAAAAGGATAGCAGCAATTGCCCCAAGCGTAAGTCCCAGGCTAATACAATTATACTGTGCCCAGGAGAATATTCAGTATGATATATGAAAAGTCATCAGTAGAAATGTATAACACTCGATATATATATCTAAATCAAAACCAACACCTGAAAATGTCCATGGTCGATGAGTATCAAGCATGGATTAAGTAAAATCATAGCCAACAACCATGGCGCAGACCTTTCTCGCCCGCTCCCACCAAATCTCCTGAAGTAAACCACTGCAAAACAAACAGCAGCCGGGAAGAACAAAAGAAAATCCGAAACAAGCACCGTCCACCTCATCAGAAGTTTCCTGCATTTACCAATCATCAGCTAAGCAGATTCGAACGATCAAGAAGCATATGTGGAAGCCCAGACGACAAAATAACTCACGATCCATGTGATTCAAATCCGCGTGAGGTAATTAGGGCTAGGGACTCGGGAATTGAGGAATTTAGGAGAAAGGCGTGAGCGAGGCTCTGATACGCGGTGAGCGGGGGGTAATCGAGACCCCAATAAGAAAGGTTGTTGGCGCTTGTATTGCGATACCACTCCACCACCGGCGTATGGAGTGTTATCTCCATCCAGTGGCGCTGCGCTTCGTAATCTCCGTACATGGGCGGTGTGTCCCTGCCAGAGTACGGCCCGAGCGAGACGAGGAAGCGAACCAGTGCGGCGAAGAGGGCGATCAACACCGATGTCGCCGGTGTTAGCGTCGTATTCGACCATGGGAACTCACTGGAGCTTTGCACTTCTTCCATCGTAGGCTTCTTCCCCGACATCGATCTCCCTCGGCGTTATATCAGGGAATAATGAGGTGTTCTTAGTCGTTTAGTTGGAAATTGCAGTGTAAATAAATTCGTATTTAACTAATTTTGCTAATTTTTATTTGTTTGAAACAACACTAAAAATCAAGATTTTAAAAATTGAATCAGACATAAAATCAACAGAATAAAAGGTTCAAAATTTAATGGTTTGATTTAGATGATGGTCTAAGGTTTAACCTGAATATAAAAATTATTTAAATAAAATTTAAATGACACAATAATAATATAATTTTTTGTCAAAAAAAATGAATCATGCATTAATAATATCATTTATAATTTTAATTTTAAACGTCTTTAATCTTTAAATTTGATTTACTTACAAACTTATAAATTTAATATAAATAATTATTAATTTATATTACATGTTTAGATCTATTTTGCACATATAGATTATGCATTAAATTCACATTATAAATTTATACCTATGAATTATTAATGTTAGATAATTATTATAAATAAATAATTTATTTACATATAAATATCTGGAGTGGCGTAGCCCGTAAATAGGCGTGAGATCAAGGGCGAACAGGGAGTGGTTTGAATGGATGGCCGATATCGAATCCTTTGATCATGCACCGTTTGTTGGACATTTGATGGCCTTAATGATGTCAGAATTTGATGATCTTGGGCTCGTTGGATTCGTCTCGTCGAGCCCTTCGATTCGAGTATAAGCTCGTCAAAATCGGAGACCGTTTGGTAACTCAAATTGCGGTTTGAACCTTCCAACAGTGCTTTGAACCATTGATTCGGACTCATTTGGGCTCGGATTGGGTTGATCTTGGTGTCGTTGGGTTCGTAATTCCGAGACGCTCAGTTTAAATGTAAGCTCGCTGAAATCAGAGTTCATATGCTCCCGAAATTAATTTTTGAAGTTTCCAACTAGGTTTTGCCTCGAGATTCATGCCCGATCAAGATGATTTTGCGATGCCGTATCACACTTAAAACCTATTTTACTTTCTAAAATACCATTCCCTTTTCCTCCGTCAAAACCCCATCTCATACCGCACGATGTTGGTTGTTTTCGTGCAAAACTCATTTCTTTGCCTCTTGTTTGAGCAGCTCCTCTTCTCCATTCCGTCGAACGCCATAACTCATCTCCTTTCCCGTCGAAACGCCGCCCACCTTCTCCAATTTGGGCGATCATCCAGACGGAGCTGAATCGCTTCTGAGAGAAAACATGTCAAATTCTTTTTAATACAAGGTAATCCAAGAACCTGAGTGTGGAATTTTATAAATCAAAACTCAACTGTAATTGTTGGCATATGGCATTGGTTTCAGAGAAGTTTCGATCAACAGTAAACTTTGTTAATTAAATAGTTCCTCTGTTCTGAAAATTTTGGGAAGTTTGGCAACCAAAAAGAGCAGATTATTGAGTTTGAATTACCTGAGCGACTACAGAGGACGAGTCTCCTTTGTAAATGGTGTAATTCTTCTTTATGTAACTTCATGTTACCCTAAAATCGTAAGTCTTCTCTTCTGTGTTTCCCCCAAGATAGACGAACCACTCATCATAAAACTGCAGAAAACAACTCCTCATGATGCTGAACACAAGATCTTTCGCCTCCATGCTGTCCCCCCTAAACGCTTGCCACCTGTCGTGCCAGGTTATAAACTGAAGAAGAAGAAGAAGAAGAGACTGTATGTGAGTCCATTAGAAGAGGATTGAGGGCTAATTAACAATAAAGTTCTTACCTTTGGCTTCATGGTAAGTACAGTATATCCAGCAGCATCTCGGAGCTGGGTGAAACCGCCCAACCAGTAGTGTTTGGTTTTGAAGATGGTGTTTCCGGCGGCGTCGACGGTGGCGAGGTACCGTTTCTGTAGTGGTTTTGTTTTGAAGGCAAGATCATCTTGCGGTAATTGGGTGAGATTTTGACGGAGGAAAACGGAGTGGTATTTTAAAACTTAAAATAGGTTTTAAGTGGTAGGTGTGTAAATAGACAACTTTAGGTGTTAGATGACTAAATAAGAAACTTTCAAGTGTTATGTATGTAAAAATCCCTTTTTAAAATTGAATCAAACATAATATCAAAAGAATAAATGGTTCAAAATTTAATGGTTTGATTGAGATGATGGTCTAAGGTTTAACCTGAATATAAAAATTATTTTCATAAAATTTAAATGACACAATAATAATATAATTTTTTGTAATAAAAATTGAATCATGCATTAATAATATCATTTATAATTTCAATTTTAAACGTCTTTAATTTTTAAATTTAATTTTCTTACAAACTTATAAATTTAATATAAATAATTATTAATTTATATTACATGTTTAGATCTATTTTGCACATATAGATTATGCATTAAATTCACATTATAAATTTATACCTTTGAATTATTATTGTTAGATAATTATTATGAATAAAAAAATATTTTTTTTTGCATATAAATAAATAAATAAAAGCGAACCTATTCACTAATTTCACCAGTTCACCAATTTCACTCTGTTCAAACACAACAGTCATATGCTCAGTTAATGGTTGAACCAATTTTGAATGGGCCAGTTCTGTCTAACAATTAAAAACTTTTTAAAGTTGTATAATTTATAAAATATATCATTTAGTCAATTTTATTACTTAAATTCGCAATGTTAAATAGGAAGTCACAATGGACGAGAAAGGAAGTCACAACTAGATCTAGATGAGAATGCTACTGTATATGTGATTTCTCGAGCCCATCTCACTCTCATACCAATTGTTTATCTCCATTCATCCCTTTCGCAATCTTGTGCGACTGTGACTCATACACTGATCCTCCTCTGTTGACCGTAACCACCTCACCCAAATTCAAGCCTCCCTAATCACTTCATGTTGAAGTTTCTTCTTCCAATAATCTAGATTTTAAAACCCTACTCTCTCCATCAATTACTGGCATCTCCCTCATCATTAGTGACGAACTTAAGCGAACTAAATATATTTTGGACGAGAATCCCCACACCTTCCTTTTTTTATATATGATTTACCCTATATCATTTACATGCTCACTTGGGACTATGTCGCCACTATTAATACTACTCTATCGACTAGAAGACTAATTTGGCAACCCTTCAACCCCTCTTAAACATAAGTCATCATATCAATCTTTAAACATCTCAAATTTGACTTTTTTTTGCCGTGCCAAATTTTTGAATTTTATGGGACCTCTATAAGACTCTAGTTACGAGCCGTCAATAGCATTGGATTGCTCTAAGTAGTTGAATATTTCAATTTAAAAATGAGAGCCTATCATTTGTCATAATTTATTGACTTAAAATTTTCTCAAATTTCGTATTCTATTATTTAATTAATATTTTTATTTCAATTGCAATAGTTATATAAAAATTTTAAAACATTATTGTAAATGTTTTCCTGAAGTTTTAAGTATGAAATGATTCAAATAAAAAAAAAAAAAAAACACGATCAAAAGTCATATTGATAGAATAATTCTCATTAAAAAAAATTATAAAATGAATAAGAATAAGCAATATTGTATGAAATCATAAGAGAGCGAGTTATATATAAAATTAGCTTCATTATGATATAAAGAATTTTTTTATAATAAATTCTACAAATATTTTTTTTTTTGGAAAATATATGTTAGAATATTCTAATTTAAATTTAATCAGAATAAATTTTATGCATATTAAAATTACTTTAAAATAAATATAAATTGAGAATTGATTTATTAATAATATATTATATTAATGATTAATCTCATAATAAATTAATGAATACAAAATTATTTTTTTTCCCGCCAATCTACTCTTCCCTTAATGGCGGGAATCAAACCTTCCCCTTCGCATTTGGAAACCCCAATATCAATATCGCCGGGGTCCGATCACTTATCGCCGCTCTCAGACAGATCTCAATAGGAACATCAATGGCGCATGCCTTATCTTCGGTATCCTCGTCGCCCTTTCGGTCCATGCTCTGTATCTAGGGCAGACGCCAATACCTTCGCTCTGGCCGTCCGCATGGGATCGGCGGTCCGCGTTTACATGGATGGCTGCTTCGATGCGTTGCACTACGGCCACTGAGTTCGTAGTCAATGTTATGAGAGACGGCGAAATCACGGCCAACTAGAGGCCGCCTCTGACTCCTCTTCACGAGTGGTTGGTGTTAGATTCGGTTCATTCGTTATTTTCGTTTTTCTTTTTAATTGTCGAATTTGAGCATTTTTAGGGATGATTGAACTACTAACCAATCTGTTTAGGGACGTCGCCACTCTCTGTTATTTCCTTTCAATTTGTTTACTTATCTATTATCTCTCGTATTTCCTTTGAACTTTATTACTTATCTCTCATTATTGATATCGATTTTTGCGATTGTTTTAATTATCATGCTTGCTATGATAGAAGAAAATGTGCATTGCTGCATTTGCTTCCAGTGGAGAATTACCCACTGAAATCTGTAGTTCGGTTATTACATCACAATTATCTGCTATATATGGTACTTCATATGCACTCAACTATACTTTTATGGATTGATTAATGATATTTTTGACCTAATTGGTGAAATTTCTGTGTTCATATACAGAATTCAAGGAGAACAAACACTTTTCGATATGCAGCATAAAATGCACAAACATGCTTGCACACTGCAGGGCAAAAAAAAAAAGAAATCAAAGATCGCATAAAAAAAGCTTTTCTATGATACAGAGCTCATTCGTTCTAACTATTTCCGCACAGAGTACAGTTATTGCTAGGCTTAAGTTGTACCTCAAAGCTTAGGTTGGCCAACAGAGCAAGAAAATCTTTATAATTATTGCCTGCCAGAAAATTTAAATATGTATAATATGTGTTTTATGTCTCAGCATTGTATAAAAATTCAGCAAGTACAAATAACAGAATAAGCCCAGAAGGATTTTTTACTTGAAAAATTCGGAAAGAGAAAAAATCATGGGGCCTGACCCACTTGTAAAATCCACTATGTAGTAAGTGATACAAAGTTTTCCCATTCTTCATTGTAGAAGAAGAGGGAGAGTACATAAATCAAATGTTCGCAGATGAACAG